GGTCCTTGTGAATTCTGAATAAAAAATATTTTAATTAAAAAGAAAAGGTAGGGCTGTAGGCAGTCTTTGTCTTAGAGTTTCTATTACTGTGATGAGACACAATGACCACAGCAATTTTTTTTTTGTTTTATTTTTGTTTTTTGAGACAAGGTTTCTCTGTAGCTTTGAAGCCTGTCCTGGAACTCACTCCGTAGACCAGGCTGGCCTCAAACTCTGCCTCCCAAGTGCTGAGATTAAAGGCATACACAACCACAGCAATTCTTATAATGGAAAACATTTAAATGGGTGACTTAAGAGTTTTAGAGATTTAGTCCACTATCATCATGGCAAGACATAGCAGCATGCTGGGACATGGTGCTGAAAAAGTAGCTGAGAGTTTATATCTTGATCTAAAGGCAACAGGAAGTGAACTATCACACTGGGTGAGCATAGGAGACCTCAAAGTTCACCACCAACCACAGTGACACATTTCCTCCAACAAGGCCACACCTACTCCAATAAAGCCACATCTCTAATAGTGCCATTCCCTTTAAGGGTCATTTTCTTTCAAACCAACACAGATTTGAAAAAAATCACTATTTTTTTTTAATTAGTGATTGATGTAGGAGGGCACTGTCCAGTCTATTGTGGACAGTGCCATCCCAGGGCATTTAGTCTTGGATACTTTAAGAAATTGAGCAAGCCATGAAGAGCAAAACAGTAAGATGAACTTCTTCATGGCTTCTGCATCAGCTCCTGCCTCCAGGTTCCTGTTCTGACAGCTTTCAATGATGAACTGTGACACAGAAGTGTAAGTACAATAAACCCTTTCTTCTCCAAATTGCTTTTGGTAATTGTAGTGTTTCATCACAGCAAGAGAAACCCTAATTAAGACAGAGAACAAACACCAATGTATGCTGGACCCAACATGTGACTATTTGGTACTACTTTCAAATACATCTGCTTGTTATTGGTAACTTGCCTCATACATTGAAATCAGTTACATTTTTATTTAGTCCTTTAAATTTAACTTTCAAATTAGTGAAATAAGAAATGAAATAGATTCTATTCTCTGAGGACTCCACTAAACCTAGTCTAGTTTTCTGCCCCCCCCCCAATGGATCCTCTCAGCCTTCCCTTTTAGCCCATCTGATCACTTTGCGTCAATCACCAATACCTAGAAAATTCTCAAACTGGAACCCCGAGTGGCTACACCAGTCTGGTACTCAGGTAGGCAATTTCACTCTCCTCCCTGTCCTCCATTACACTCTCCCCAGTTTTACCCCAAGCCCTGTAGCAGTCTGCTTGCAGGTACCTCTCTTCCTACCTCAACTCCATTCACTGGCCCCTAGCCATCTCATCACTATCTCTCAAGATTATCCTCTGTCTTACTGTATGTAACCTACTTACAGGAGCTCCTCCTCCCACCATACTTCCAACTCTCTACAGACTCTGGCTCTTAGTGTAGAGAGAATTCCTTAGCCCTTTCTCACAGCTCCTCTCTGCCTTTTCTCTTAGCACAAATCTATTCCTCTCTGACATCCACAGACCTGCAGAAGCACTCTCTACCAGGCAACCCACAGCCACCACACTTTCTTAAGATATAGAAAGGGAAAACAAAACCAAGGAACAGAACAACCTCCAAACAAACATAAGTCCAATATCAACACTTAGAGTCAGAACCACCTCAGTCATCCTAACTCCATGTGCCTAGATACCAACACAAAAGTCAACAGCCAAGAAAATATGTCACCACCAGAACCTAGTAACCCTACTACAGTAGACCCTGAGAAATAAAACTGGAGCACAAGACAAGTATTTTAAAATAGTAATTAAGAATATACTCAAGGATCTTAAAGAGATATGAACAAATCCCTTAATAAAGTCTATTAAAACATCACCAGTGAAATGAAATAATGAAACATTTCAAGACATGAAAGTAAAACCAAAATCAATAAAGAAAACCCAAACAGGGCCCTCCGCCGGCCTGACCCCTACTGAGGTGACTGTACCCTCAGCACCTGCCCAACTCCTGCCCAACGTCCCCATCACCCTGGATCTCTCTGGGCCTGCGCCTATATAGAGTGGACCCGCCCAGACAGGGAGGAACTCCCTGAGTCTGGAAACACCTCACTCCTCCTTCCCCCTCCACCACCGCCGGCCCGACCCCTACCAAGTGAGGAGACTACCAGGAGAGGCAAGACCATCCACAACTGCAGACATTGATGTCTTAGCCCACAAACACCACTGGGTGACAAGAGGAGATAGAGAGACCCCACCTGCACTCACTGGAAGAAGAGATGGGAAGAAGACAGAGTAAGAACACACTCAACAACAGAAAAACCAAAATGACACCACAAGAATCGAGGGACTCCATACCAGCAAGATCTGAAAAGCCCCACACAGAGGATGAAGAAGAGATGGACCTCAAAAATTATCTTAGGATGATGACAGAGACATTTAAAGAGGAAACAGGAAAATCCCTTAAAGAAACAGATAAAAAAAAAAAAACCAAGCAAAAAATTACATGAAATGGAGGAAAAGACAAACCAAAAAATTCTAGAAATAAACAAATCTCTTAAAGAATCTAAAGAAAGCCAAGAAAAAACAACAAAACAAGCGAAGAAAGCACTCAAAACAGTTCAAGGCATGAAAGCTGAAAAAGAAAGAAAACACAGAATGAGGGGATGCTGGAAATAGAAAGGCTGGATAAACGATCAGGAACTAAAGATGTGAGTATAACCAATAGAATACAAGAGATGGAAGAGAGAATCTCAGTTGTTGAAGACTCACTAGAGAATATACAGTCATCGACCAAAGAAAATCTCAAGTCCAACAAATCCCAAAGAAAATTTCAAGTCCAACAAATCCCTAACACAAAATATCCAGGAAATATGGGACACTGTGAAAAGACCAAAAAAAAAAAGAATAGGTATAGAAGAAGGTGAAGAAATTTAGCTCAAAGGTACAGAAAAGATAGATACTCAACAAAATCATAGAAGAAAACTTCCCCAACCTACAGAAGCATATGCCTATGAAAGTACAAGAAGCTTACAGAACACCAAACAGACTGGACCACAAAAAGAAGTCCCCTCGACACATAATAATCAAAACACCAAACCTACAGAGTAAAGAGAAAATATTAAGAGCAGCAAAGGAAAAAGGCCAAGTAACATATAAAGGCAGACCTATCAGAATCACACCCAACTTCTCAATGGAAACTTTGAAAGTCAGAAGGTCCTGGATAGATATCCTACAAACACTAAGGGAGCATGGATGTCAACCCAGACTACTGTACCCAGCAAAACTTTCAATCACTATAGATGGAGAAAACAAGATACTCCACGGAAAAACCAGACTTAAACAATACATATCCACAAATCCAGCACTAAAGAAAGTTCTGGAAGGAAAACTCCAACCCAGCGAAGACAACTATACTCAAAAAACATAGGCAATAGGTAATCCAATTTTACCAAACAAAAAAAGAAATAGGAGGGTGAAATCCACACACAACCCTGTCTTAGTCAGGGTTAATATTGCTGTGATGAATCACCATGACCAAAACAACTTGGGGGGAAAAGGGTTCATTTTGGCTTAGACTTAACAAATCACTGTTCATCACGAAGAAAGTCAGGACAGGGACTCAAACAAGGCAGGAATCTGGAGGCAGAAGCTGATGCAGAGGCCATAGAGAGGTGCTGCTTAGTGGCTTGCTCCTCATGGCTTGCTCAACCTGCTTTCATGTAGAGCCGAGGACCACCAGCCTAGGGTTGGAAACCACCTACCATGGGCTGGGCACTCCCCATCAATAACTAATTAAGAAAATTCCTTATAGGCTTGCTTACAGGCCTATTTTATGAAAGCATTTTCTTAATTGAGGTTCCCTCCTCTCAGATGACTTTAGCTTATGCCAAGTTGACATAAAACTATGCAGCACACAAGGCAATTCATTTGTTGATTTTTAAGACAATATTTTATATGTATGAGTGTTTTGCCTGAATGCATGTGGATCACATCCATGCAGTGCCTGCAGAAGCCAGTGAGAGTATCAGATTCCCTAGAACTAGAGTTATAGTCAAGTAATGTAGAATAAACTTGAAGTAATAATATAGATTTTACAAAAGATTTACTAATAGCTTTTGCTTAGTAAGTCACACAAAATAGAATTTACCTAAGGGAGCCCTGCCTCCAAAATACCCAAAGATAAGTACTATGCTAATGAGGCCTGTTAGTTTGTTTATCAGGACTGTCCACCCATTAGGCTTCATTCCCATAACAAAAGGAGACAACCCCGACTTATAACATGTTACTAAGCCCAATTCTTTAGCAAAGAACATGCTACTCAAGGAGCAGTGCAGAGTGAGACAACCATCCTTAAATCCGGCCTGCCATAAAACCCTGTTCTTTTCTTAAGAAAAGCATAATTCTGCCAGGTGGGAAAGATGAGCCTGGATAACAACTATCTGAAAAAGAAAACACTGATGCACTTAAAAAATTCTGGCTATATGAAATATCTTTGCTGTGTAAATCTCCCATCTGCCTAAATGGCCTGACTTGCACTTGCCTGTCTCTGTTACATAGTTCAAAGTGTAACTTGAGGCTGGGATCCAAAACAGATTTAAGGATGACAGCATATGTGGAACGAATAAGCCAACATGTACATAAGTTAGAAAGATCATCTATTCATCTGTCATAATGATAGAGCAGACTCTATCATTAAAGCACTTTCTCCTCACTTTTTCTATGTGTGGAGTGAATTCTCATGGTGAGGTAGCAGTGGAGTGGGGGTGTTCCTGATACAAAGAACTACCATGTGGTACTAGGAATCAAATCCAAGTCCTCTGGAAGAGTACTTAACCACCGAGTCATCTCTTTAGCACATAGCAAGTCAATTTGTCAATGACAAACAATGACTATACAACCCCAGAAGCAGAGGACAGTGAGCTCAAGGCCAGCACGGGCAAAACAAAAGAACACCATCTTCCATACATCAAGAAGAAAAGAACCAATTTTATTCTTACCTTGTTTCTTATTATGCTGAGCATGTATTTGGAGCATTTCAGGGCAATAGGTACTGTGACTATTATAAAATTCACGCAAGTTCACAGTTAAGAGTGAGGTGTACCAATTTCTCCATTTAACTCTGTAAGTCTATAGAGACACATGTTTCAATTTGATAAGATGAGCCAGGCATTGTGTCATGTGCGTTTAATCCCAACTCTCAGGAGGCAGAGGTAAGTGGATCTCTGAGTGTGAAGTCAGCTTGATCTACATACTGAGCTCCAGGACAGCAAGGGCTATGTAGAAAGACCCTGTCTCAAAAAAGAAAAAAAATGGTAGTAGTAGTAGTAGTAGTAACAATAATAATAATAATAGGATCCTAGGGTATAAATATAATTTGAGTCCTAGAATTAATGAATTTTATCAGTTGGTTATTTTTAGCACATGTCAGTGAAGGCCCCAAACCCAATTAGTGTACCTTTGATTTTTTTTTTTTCCTTCTGATGAGGGAGAGGGGTTTTATTACTATGTTGCCCAAGCTGGAAGAAGTGATGATCCCTTACCTCAGCCTTCTAAATTCCTTTTATTACACACAAATTTAGTATGTAAATTTTCTATTTAGAATGATATTCTATTATGGAACTTTTAGTTTTTATATGTATAATTAATCATATATATTTCTTATATTAGTTATAAAAATATATTCTTATATACAATATATTCAATTACCCTGTATTTTCAACTCTAGTACCTCAGGACCTGATATTAAAGTTACTGAAAACAACATGGAGTACAGCTCAGAGGTGGAGCACTTGTCCAGCATGTTCAAGGACCTGGGTTTCATCCCAAGTAGGAGGGAGGGAGAGGGAGAGAGGATGGATGGATAGATGGATGGATGGATGGATAGATGGATGGATGGATGGATGGATGGATGGATGGATGGATGGATTTGGGGCTCTCATCATCTTCACTCAATCTGTCATGTGCACTGTATTTAAAGTTCCTTTGTATTCGCAGTAACCTAGAAGCCAGCAGGATTCTGGTCTCTCTCACTTTTGTTTTGTTTTGTCTCTTCTAGGCTTTTAGCCACCATCTAAGTGTCCAGTTTCCTTCTCTGGCTGATAAAGCAAAATAAAGGAGATGGGCCTGTTGCCCCTGAGCAATCTCTCCCTGGGATGGCCCCTACTCTCAGAACAGTAAGAATCCCATCCTATTCCTTTTCTTACTCTCACAGTAAACTCTTTTTGGAATGAATTGCTTGCTACACAGGTACAGATGAATAGGAAGAATAAATCCTAATGTTCTACAACACTGCAGGGAAACTGACAACTATTAACTGAAGATTCAAAAACAAATAATAGGGGCTGGGGAAATGTCAGTTAAAGGTGCTTGCTGTTCTTGAAGAGAGAAGACTGAGGTTTGGGTCTCAGCATTCATATGGTGGCTCACACCTACTCTTCTAACTTGGGCACCTGTATTATCATGGTGTACATACAGCCAAAGCACTCACATACAAAAAAGTAAAATAAATAAAACCCTTAAAAATAAAGACATCTAGTACAGAGAGGATTTTCAGTGTTCCTAACACAAACATGTAGACAAGCCAATTACCCTCATCTGGTCATTACACATTGTACAAATGATACTAAAATACTACACAATACACCAAAATACACGATTCCTATGTATGGAGAAAAATAGTTAATATAATCAGTTAATAAGTATTATAAGTAAGTAATAAAATAAAATGACTTGTATCTCTAGGTACCAACAATTCTTTCCTTTCTTCTTGGTATTTAACTAACAAGATAAGCACCTAAATGACCTATATAAGGCCCCAGTTTATACAGACACAATCAACACCAAGGAGAAAAGTGTTCTCATTTCAAGTTCTTCATTTGATAATAATTTAAAGCTAGAGAATCTTAGCATTTGTCAGGTTTATACATCGCCACCTGACTCATTACTTTGTGGTTTTAAACTAAGGGGACAGGAATATGTTTAGACTTTAACTCTTGCTAAAATACACGACTTAACAAAAATTTATGAGTTGAGTCAATATTGCTTTCAGATTTCAGCTATGCTTGGGGAATCCCACTACATTTAAATATACCCCTAAAGTCTCAAGCAAATGAATAAATACACAAGAAAACAATAGACACGCATTACTTCAACTCTATCCTTCCTTAGATTTCCCACAGTCATAGCCTTTGTTATAGAAAAACATTCTATATTGGCCATGTCTTCTAACATAGTAGACACTTTAAAAAAAAAATCAAAGACATTCCCACTTCCTGGCTTAATAAAACAATAGCACAAATCCCCATTTAAAACACCAAACAGAAAAAAAAAATGTGTTAAAACAGGGACTCCAGGGTTAAATTTTATATTAGATAGCATTGTAGGAAGGTAATTACCTCTATTGTTTCTTCATCTTTGCCAAGCTTTGCTTGCTAAAATCCAAACATAAAGGGCATCTATTAATGGCTTCCTAAAACCTTAACTTGGTGGTACCACCCAGGCCCCCAGAAGCAATACTCCTAAAATTACTGATTCCATCCATTCAACACCTAGAAATTACTGGGCTCCAATCAGATCTGTAGTGCTCCAACAACATGTTCTATGCCTATTTCAACATCATCTCAGCTGGAGTTTGCTTCCACCTTAAAGGGAAATAATACACATTTTCCAGGCTACCTAACAGATCTGTCATCAAGAACTATTGTTGCAAGCAAGAGCTCAATGAGACCCACCTTCTTCAGGGACACAAGCCTAACAATACACTGGAGAGTTCATGACCTAAAGTAAAGGGTGTCAATGGACCTGAGAAACTGGACACTGTATACTGATAAGAAAACCTGTCTGAAAAGAAAGGCAACAGTGATAAGAACATCTGCAGTCAGAAGCCAAGAGAAACCTGACAAGGTCAACATATGATAAAAACATCTGCAGACATGTCTTAGCCCTGAGACTACAAAGAACAACATAGAGATAAAATTTCCATCTTTTCTCTGCCCCCCAAAATCCCAAGCCGCCTGTACCCTGGAACAGTCAAACTTCTACAATAAAGGACAACCCACTTCTACTGAGGTTGGTCTCCTCTTTCTTTTATTTTCATATTCCCACCATCAGTCATGACCTAACAATAACAATCCTCTCCAAGGAGACTCGGGTGACACACTGAAAAAGATAGCCCCAATATTTTGGGAAGAAGGTGAGGTTACTGTCTCCCACTCCCTTCCCTCTCAGCCTGACTAACTCTAATATCTAGTATTTTAGATTAAGTCATTTTATTCTTCATTTGACCTATTCTCATACAAAGACAGGAAAAATGTTGCCCCTTACTTTGAATCCTCATCAATTTGCAGTTACATTTTTATTTCCTTGGTAAAATTAAGGTTCTCCAATTGTTACAAGCTCCCTAAGAACAACTACAGGCTGAATTTTGCCACTTTGCCGTAACCAACTATTCGTGTATACAAGAAATGAACAGAACATTTAAATGTGTCAAAAAGAGGCTAGGGACATACATCAGTGGTACAGGAATTGCCTCACATGTGCAAGGCTCTGAATTCAAACCCTGTACTGCAAAATAAACAAACATACTATCACAATACCTAACTTTCTGAAAGAATGAGTGACTGTTTCAAAACAATACAACAGAATAACTATAACCATTGCTCTAAGCACAAAGAGACATAAAGACACAATCACTTTCAATACCATAAACATTCAAAGGGAACTAGAGATGGCTCTTTCAAAGGAGCCGGCTTACATCCAACTGTAACTCCAGCTCCAGGGGAATCCCTCTTCTGCCCTCTTCACGAACCTCTGGCCCCTCTTTTGGTCTCTTCAGGTACCAGCACACACTTGCACATACAAGCACACAGGCAAAAGCATATAAATAAATAATAATACAAATCTTAGGGGAGAAACTACCATTGATGGGGTATTAGAACCAAGAACAACCAAAAGTATATTTTTGAACAATGTAGAAAATCTTTTTCCACAAAGCTCATATGTTAATGACATTTTAATATCTTTACTTTTTCAGATTCATGTATTTTATGTGTGTTTTGGTCACATGTATGTCTGTGTACCATGTGTGTGCCTGGTGCCCAAAGAGGTCAGAAGAGGGGGTTACATCACCTACAACTGGAGTTATTGATGGTTATGAGCCACATATGGGTGCTGGGAATAGAACCTAAGTCCTCTGAAAGAGCAGCAAGGGCTCTTAACCACTGAACCATCTTCTCAGTCCCTAATTTCCTTATTTTATGGTGCACTCCCAGACACTTAAAGCTCTATTACCAAGCCTGCAATTTTCAAACTATTTCCTTTGAAACAGTTGAAAACTCAAGTTTAAAAGAAGGCCACATTTGCAGGGTGTTGGTGGCGCACACCTTTAATCCCAGCACTTGGGAGGCAGAGGCAGGAGGATCTCTGAATTCGAGGCCAGCCTGGTCTACAGAGAGAGTACCAGGACAGGCTCCAAAACAATACAGAGAAACCCTGTCTGTCCGGGGATGGGGTGGGGGTGGGGGGTGCACACTTACATCAAAGATTCTTTAGTGCTAATTATAACCTAATGATTGTTGCAGATCCAGAGCAAAAATTATCAAGGATTATGCCTATCTCTGTACCTGACCTAACATCATTTCAACTGTCAGGTAAAACCTTTGTTCTGTATTTTTAGCAGAACACTAGCTTCCACCAGCCCAAAGGCTAACAACCTATCATGGCCTGGCTATAACCCAACTTTACCTGGTGTTTCCACCAAGGTTTTGAAATTGCCTTGATTTATGACTTATGGTTTAGAACTACAAAAGTTCACATTGCCAGGTGTAGTCACCTATGCCTTTAATTCTAGCACTCAGAAGACAGGCCAAATTCTGTTCTAGGCCAATGTGCTCTACTTTGGAAGTTCCAGGCCAGCTAGGGCTACACAATGTCACTCTTGCTGTGTAGCCTGGCTGGCAGAAAAATAAATGAAAAAAGAAATCAGGTAACCCCTTTCACATTGGAACACGTTATTTGGGGCAATAAATTTTCTCAGGACATGGTCATTATTTGGTTCAAAATCAATTCTTACTCCCTTTGAGGTGAAGAGTTGTTTTTTGGGGGGAGGGGTGGTTTGTTTTTGTTTGTTTGCATCAAACACACACACACACACACACACACACACACACACACACACGCAGTCCCAATCCTTCAATAGTCTCCACCCTTTGAATCCCTGTGGGCAGGGCCTAAGAAGTTCTGATGGACCGAATGACATCTGTTTTTCTTTCAGTACACTCGCGTTTAAAAGGCGACTTCTTACCAAATGTAAGTGATTGCTGGAAACAAAGTGATTGCTGGAGACTAGCGCTGTATTTCTGAGGTAAATACAGGGTGGCAACGCTCTCTCAACAGCTTTTACCTCACACTCACCTGAACGCGCCGGATCCGCCAATTCCTGAGCACGCAAGATGCAGAAGTAAACTCCGGGTCGCGCTCGCCCGCTCGCCGGTAGAAGCCAAGGAAGCGCCGCCGCCCAGGGCTAAGCCCGCCTCTCCCACGCCGCGACCCGGCGCCGCCTCCGCGGAGCAACGGAACTCCAACTCTTGGAGCCCGCGCCGGAGGAGACTAAAGGCAACACCCACAGCGCTTCCGCTTCCGACTTGAGGCTGCAGGACCAGTTCCGGCTCCTGCTCAGGCGTTTTGGGGGACCTTCAGGAGAGGAAATTCGTTTCTTGGCGTCACCAAGGCCTGACCCAGGTTGACGACCAGTGAGATGGAAAAAGAACTCCGCGACCCAGAGCTGGGGTGTGAGAGACCGCGGAGGCGACTGATGCCGTTCCGCTTTCGACTGCGCTCTCCTCCGGCTGTGGAGCTTCGCTTTACCCTGAGACCTGAGTTTACGCCACTTCTGCCCGAAGAGCGGCTTTGCCCCAAGTCCTTTAGGAGTCCTTAGAGTCTCTGCTGGCCCGCTGGCCGCAGAACCAGGCTCACTGGCCATGTTCAGGCGACAGGCAGATCAACGAGAGGGGCCATGCCTCCCAGTGCCCTCACTTAAGCACTCAGGGATTCGTGTCTCTAGTCACAGAAGTAGACGAGGAACACGAGGTTAGAAGTAAACCGTTTATTACAAAACGGAAAGCGGGGCGGCTGAGATGGCTCAGAGGGTGAACACACTTGTCTCCAAGCCTGACGACCTGAGTTCAACCCCTGGAGGACTGACTCCCGCATGCTGTCCTCTGCCCTCCACCCTCTCACACACATCATACAAAATAATGATAACTACAAGAAATCTGGGGCCGGGAGTAGTGGCCCACACCCAGGGCTTGGAGGCAGAAGCAGCCTGAGTTGAGTCCAGCCGGGTCTACATAGAGTTCCAAACTAGCCAAGCTACACAGTGAAATTCTCACTCTCAAAAAAAAAAAAAAAAAAAAAAAAAAAAAAAAAAAAAAGAGAGGAAGGAAGGAAGGAATTTTATTTAAAGGGCGGTGGGGATCACTCCCAAAGAATCTGTTCCAAGCACACTGGGCCAAGAGCCTTATGACTTCATATGACACCTTGTGACTCTTGATATGACATTTATATAGTACCTCCCTCTCATAAGCATGTGAGGGCTTCTCTTGAGCATGCTCCAATTATTTGTTAGATAAGCCCAGTGAGAAAGTCTTTTTCCCACAACTGGCTTCTTTCATATGTTTAATATTGGTGTTGCTTCTTGCAATCTCTCCTGTCACAATACTCTTCTGGTGACTGCCTTTGTTCCTATGGCCCTTTTAAGGCAGAGTAGAAAGCTGAAACTTTGAGGGACATGAGAGGAAAAGCTTGAAAAAGTAGGTCTGCCTTGTCTGTCCTGTTGACAGACTCAGAAAAATGTAGACACACTGTAGGCTTCCTACTATTATGATTTTGCTAAATGATTTATCCTGTTGTTAATTTGCCTTCTGTGGAGACTTGAATAAAAATGTCCCCCATAAGGACCTAGGCCCTGCCCCAAATGACTTGACAGATTTTGATGGTTCCCTCATGGAAGGCCTCACTCTGGGGGACATGGGATGGGGTTGGGGGGATGGGCTGGGGGTGGGGGAGAAAGTTTGGGGGTGAGGGGAGGGAGAGGGAGAAGGGACTTGAAATAAGCTTGTTCCCTAACTAGAACTAATAAAATAAAATAAAATTTAAAAAAAAAAAAGAAACAGTTAAAGAATTCTATCTTGATATGAAAACAAACTAAAAAAAAAAAAAAAAAAATGTCCCCCATAAGACCTTAGGGAATGACACTATTAGGAGGTGTGGCCTTGTTGGAGTGGGCGTGGTCTTGTAGGAAGTACACCACTAGAGGGTGGGCTTTGAGGTTTCCAACCCCAATTAAATGTTTCCTTTATAAGAATTGTCATGGTCACAGTGTCTCTTCACAGCAATAAAACCCAAACTAGGATACCTGCTAAATGTTGATATCCATATATTGATGCTTCTCTCAGCCTTGATCAGAGCAGCTTCTTTTTGCAATGGTTAATGAGGAGACTTACAACTGGTCAAAGTGCCGAGAACAAGTGACTATTCACTTCTCAGCCTTGAAAAGGAAATCAGTATCATTTGTTCCAAGAATGGAAACATCAAGGGAGAGAGGGTTAAAAGAATATAAGCTGGAGGATATTAAGGAGTGCTATGAACACTATGTTTTTGTTTTTCTTTTTTTGTTTGTTTTTCAAGACAGGGTTTCTTTGTATTGCTTTGGAGCCTATCCTGGAACTCACTCTGTAGACCAGGCTGGCCTCAATTCACAGAGATCAGTCTGCCTCTGCCTCCTGAGTGATGGGATTAAAGGCGTGAGCCACCACCAACCAGTTGAACACTATGTTCTTGACATGCACTCATGAGCTCCTAGAGGCAGTGGCTGGGCCTATCAATATTTCATCAAGGATGAAAAAGGCACTGTTTTGTAGTGGTTTCCTCCAAGATTAAAACCTTCAATCTTCAAGGAAAGCTGATAAGACACAGGATGTTAAGGGGTGGGGGTTAAAAAAAACAGGATGTCTTAAAGGGGACATTCTTTAAGGCACAGGATATTTACTGAAACATTCAATCCTGCAGAGGAACTCTTTAAACTCAAGAAGTAAACAACTCAGGGGTATCAGAAATTGTTGTGGAATATTATTTTAGCTGGACAAAGATGTGTTACATTTGTTTATGCTGATGAATATTACTTTAAATGTACAAAGATGTTATTTTTGTGTGGCATTTATTTCATGATGTAAGGATATGTATTTAATTATGTAAAGATGTGTTGCATTTGTTTAATCTTGTCTGCCTAAGGTATCTGGTTTGTCTAATAAAAAGCTGAACAGCCAATAGCTGGGCAGGAGAAAAGATAGGCGGGACTAGCGGGCAAAGAGAATAAGGAGGAGAAATCTAGGCTCAAAAATAAATGAGAGGAAGAAGAACAAGAGGGAAAGTAGGAGGAGAGAACAAGGGACATACCCAGGGGAAGAAGGCAGACAGCCACCTGCCAGCTAGACACAGGAAGCATTGAAAGTAAGAAAAGAAATACAGAAGAAAGAAAAAGTAGAAAGCCTGAGGCTGAAGGTAGATAAAAAAGAAACAGGTTAATTTAAGTTAAAAGAGCTAGCCAGAAACATGTCTAAGCTAGGCTGTATGTTCAAAACTAATAAGAAATCTTTGTGTCATGATTTGGGAGCTGGTTGGTGGTCCCAAAGAAAAAGCCTGGTACAAGGAAGTTCCTGAAATAGACCAGATTCACTAGGACCCTCCTTTTCCAAGCATGTTAGCAGTAAGGGCTGCTGAGAGACACTCTCAAACAAACTGAGCTTCCTGGAAGAGGCTCAGGTCAGTTGAGCAGCCTAGAAGAAACAGATTAGCCATGATGCCTGGAAGAGACTCAGCCTAGCCTGTGGCACTGCCTGCAGACAGGCAATGTGCTCCAGGTTCCCAGGTTTTGTGAGATGTCACCCATGCTGGGGTGGGCTTTGGTGATACACCTATTTTGGAGTTATTTCTGCTCCTGTAAGTAACCCCTCACCCATATTCTTGTAAATGACCCAATAAAACTCATTTGTTCACCAAGTTGCACTTTGGTAGTATCCATGCTTTGGTATATTGTCAGTTCCCTACCTGGTATGAGCAGATGTTTATTCATGTCTCCTCAGGAATAGTGTCACACAACAAGGGCTCATGAGACCCACACCTTTCCCTGGGGAGCTATAAGCTCTAGGTTGTTAGAGGTTGCTGGAGGAGAGAGAGTCATAATGTTCAATTGTATAATCACTAGTTGCCCTTGTTAAAGTAAATACCATGAATGAAAGGGTTTTCCAGCACAAGGGTATCTTGGCAATTGGAAGCCAAGAAATAACACAAAGCCATACCATGAAACAAAGCTCACACAAAAGATTTATTAGAGAGAAACCCAGAATGGTGACTCCCTCTGACCAGAACCAGAGACAGCAATGGCTGGTGGAGGAGTGAGCTTTTATGGGGTCTTTGGAGCATGCACAGTGAGCTTGTAGAAAAGTACAGCATGGCCAGAAGTATTGATTGTCCATTAACCTTAAGTTATGGGGATGGAGGTTTCCAAGTCCTGGGTTCAGGGACAGGCCTGGGCAGGGTGATTTTCCGCTGGCCTGTTACCCTATATTCCTCCAATTTTGTATACTATTAATAACTAATTAGAGGTCGGGAAATAAGGCAGTGTTATCATTAGACTACTTCCTGCCATATGGGGATGTTGAAGTCCTTGAGGCAAGCTTGATCTTCACTGTTAGGGTGTAATTGGGGGTCCAGAGGCATCTGATTCCATAGATAGGGAGCTGATAATCCCATAGTAACAACTGATTAAAGGTCTAGTTAGAAATCTTTTGAAAATGTTGTTGAAGAAGTCTAGACAAAATGGTATAATTCAGGGAGCTATTAGTGGGATTCGGAAAAGGAAGAGAAGAAGAGTTAAGAAAGGCAGTATCCCATTTGGGCCAGAGGGATCCTTAGATTTTTTGGAGATCTGTCTGGAGTTGTTCGGCTTTTCTCTTTTCTTCTACCTGATTGATTGATATAGAAGCAACATTCCTTGATGTAGAGATGTGTTATGTTCTTTTATGCTATGGAATATTTCTTTAATGATGCAAAGATGTGTTACTTTGCCTGTCTAAAACACCAGGTTGGACTAATCAAGAGGTGAATGGCCAATAGTGAGGCAGGAAAGAGAAAGGTGGGCCTGGCAGGCAGATAAAATAAATAGAAGAATGTGAGGAGGAGGAGGAGGAGGAGGAGGAGGAGGAGGGGGAGGAGGAGGAAGAGGAGGAGGAGAAAAGGAGGAGAGAAGCTGCCAGGCCAGCCACACAGCCAAACAGCCAGACAAAGAATAAGAAGGGAATAAAAGATATACAGAAATAGAAAAAGCTGCCAGGCAGTGGTGGCTCATGCCTTTAATCACAGCACTTGGGAAGCAGAAGCAGGTGGATCTCTGTGAGTTTGAGGCCATCCAGGTCTACAGAGAGAGTTCCAGGACAGCTAGAGCGGTTACACAGAGAGGAAAAAAATAGAAAAATGTAAAAGCCCAGAGACAAAAGGTAGATGGGATAATTTAAGAAAACCTGACTAGAAACAAGCCAAACTAAGGCT